AATACTGGACATTGTGAGCATACTGATGGAAAATAAGGACATGATCTGGGTCTGTTTTGACTAATTCATTTCAAAACGCATGTTGGGAGTGTAATGGGGTGGGAGACTTTAAAAGGATCCTGTAAAACTCCTATATCAACGAAGAAATAACGTTTTCAACACATAAGCACAATACTTTAATATCAAAATGTCATGCCCCTCATTGACATGGTTCACCTTCCTGAAGGCAACGCTTGCCACTCAATGACGTCACCTCTCGCGTTTTCTCGCGATACAGGGCCGCTATCAAACCTGACCGTGAGTCTTTGCGTTTCCTCTTTCTAGCCAGCGCCTGAGAATGGGTACGTGTTTATGTGAAGGGGTCGGGATGGGAATCGGCTTCCATCTGCATCTAAAGATGGTAACTTGGCCCGATAAACTGGGCACCGACACGGTGAAAGCATTAGGGTTCAAAATAAGAGTGATATTGGAGAGAATACACGGTTAAATGGTCAATAATAGAGGTTTGATTAAGAAAAGGGGTGAAGACTGGGAAATGTCTCAAGATGGCTGCCCGCATGGGGGTTCTTAAACCGAGAGACGTTTCAAATTTTATTTTGTAAAATAAGTAAAAAGAATAAACAGTAATTAGACGTTCAGAAACGGTCGCTTCTGCTTTTAATGTAGTGAGGCGGACGGAAGCGTGTGAAACCGAGATTTTTATGGTTTCGTCAACTGCAACTTGTAAAGGACACGCAGAAGTGGTGCTTTGACTTCTTGCTCCGGCAGGTTTGTAAGAAGCGTTCGGTGGTGGTGTTGTTTTTTGATGACGGACCTCTGTTTGTAAAGCGTGCGCCGTACCCCTTTTAAAGTGGACTTGGCGGAGGTCCCGGGGTTCGGCGGCGCTGCTGCCGTACTGTCGCAGGTGAGCGATGCCGGTATCGGTTCTGCAAAGCTGGACCGCCTGTTGGGGCTTTGAAACTGTGCGCAGCTTCAGCCGTGTATCGTAACGCCAGGTACGGACACGGCTAGTCTTCGGAGTGGTTACTTGGGGGGGTTCGTTGGACGCCGGAGGGCTGGGTGCGAGAAACACGTTGTGAGGAGCCGTGCACAGCAGGCCGCCGTGAGGACGATCGTCTTTATTTCCAATGTGGAGCGGCGCTCTGGACACGTGTTTGGCTCCGGGTTCAAATCGGGGTTGCAGTACCGTCTTCCTCGACTCGTAAACCGGGTGCGAATGTAAGTCGTTGCTGACCTCAAAAAAAAAAAAACCCATCTACCATGGTAAAGCGCGGCCTTGACTGCAGGCTGGCCTTCCCGTTTCCCGGTGGAGTTAGATCCATGTGGGAGTGGGGTTAGATTATTCACTTGGGCGCCTTTCACTAAGCGCTGCTCTTTCGTGTTGCGAATGAAAGGAAAGGATAGCTGGAAAGCCACGTTTTGTGTGTGGGGCTGTTCGCGGCTTTAAGCCCTCGTGTTGGGCGCTTTGACGCTGGGAATCGGGATGCAGAACCGGGGACGTAAACCGAGTGTGTATGATGACATTTTTTTATGCGGAATCCGATTTAAACTGCGGATAACAACCTTGGAGAGCTGAACACTCGAGTCTCACGGGCCGGCGCCGGGTTCGTTGGCTTTCTACCGGCGATGCTCTGATCCCCTGTCTTGGTTCCCCCTGCCTCCCCAGGTATCTCAAGGGATAACTGGCACAAACGCCGCAAGACCGGGGGGAAAAGGAAGCCCTACCACAAGAAGAGGAAGTATGAGCTGGGCCGGCCCCCTGCCAACACCAAGGTGAGGAGAGCGAACCGTGGCCGGGCTGCTGCTGCTAATGAACGTCCGTGTGTTGTTTCTGGGACGGGACGGCGAGCGATGTGCGTGATGAAAACGTGACCTTAGGCGGGTTTCGTTTTTGATCGTTTTGATCAATGCCTCGACCTGCCAATGTTGGGACTTGTCATAGTTACACTGATCACATTGCCTTCGCCGTGGCGGGAGCTGGTGGGTGGGGAGCCGCATTAATGTGGACTGAAAAGCGACGCTGCTCGAGTTGGGAGGGGGGTGGTGGAACGAAAGGGTGGCCCTTTGTCGAAAGTGACCTTTTGTTCCCAGTTTTGAAGACCCGACTCCTCTTGTCCACAGTGTTGCCTCCTTTCCATTAGGAGCGAATGGGGTCATCTTTGCTCTCTTAAGTGTGCCGAAGAGGGCTGTCGTGGCACATCAAGTGTCCTCGTCTGTTAGCACCTGCCTTAACATTTGCCATTGCTTAGCTTTGGAATTGGGTCCATGCTGACATCTACGCATTCCTGCAGATGCTGCATAAACATGCAGTTCGCGCTGCCGGAATTTCGTGGGGCAGTTCCACCGCTCCTTGGTCTCGGTCTTCGCAGAAGCGTTTCTGTCGGGCGGGTCATCTTTTGCTAAGATGCACATGGTGTGTTTTTGTGTTCTTCCCAAGATCGGCCCCCGCCGTATCCACACCGTGAGGGTGCGTGGCGGCAACAAGAAGTACCGCGCTCTGCGTCTGGATGTGGGAAACTACTCCTGGGGCTCAGAGTGTGAGTTCAAGCTTTGCATTAGTTGCCCCCCTTTTAATGAGCTCCCGATCCCTGCTTGCCAGGCAAAGGGCAGTCTTCACCCTAAAACTGTTCCCTGTTTTCTCCAGTCTTCTTATGATGAAATCTATCCAGTTCTGCTACTGAAAGAGAAGCGATGAAACCGTAGATCTGAAGAAGACCTTTCGTTATCAAATTCTGTACTGTCCTTGCCAGGCATAAGCATAAGTTTCCAGCTTGCTTTGCTCTTTGTCTGAATGTGAAGAAAATGAATTCTTCTCACTCCCCTCCCCCTTACAGGTTGCACACGCAAGACCAGGATCATCGACGTGGTGTACAATGCCTCCAACAACGAGCTGGTGAGAACCAAGACGTTGGTGAAGAACTGCATCGTCCTGATCGACAGCACCCCCTTCAGGCAGTGGTATGAAGCTCACTACGCAACTCCCCTGGGCAGGAAGAAGGGTGCCAAGCTGGTACGTTTGCGGCTGGCAGGATTGTGGAGTCTTTGGAGCCGTTTCCCTGCTGACGAAACCAAAGTGCTCAGCTGTTTGGGACGAGTCTAATCTAATAAAATATTCTCGTCTTTAGAGAAGAAGCAAATCGACTTCCGGATCGCCGTCAGCCTCCTGAAACTGCAGGCTGACGGTAACCCACTGAAACTTTGCGTTTTGCTATACAGCTGACCTTTTTTAAAATGGCCTTGAAATATGAGAATATAGTCGTCCCAAAAACATGAGCACTTTGTGGTTTTTCTTTTTACTGTGTAAATGTGTGTAGGTTTTAATTAATGTACTCCTACATTTGTTTTAATCTTTCATAGATGTAAGAGGGAGTCAAAGAGAATACAAGACACATGTTGTCATTGCAATAGTAAAGAGTTAAGGGGCAAGATAATGCAGGATGAAAGCTAATAGTAAAAAGCTATCATATTGCATTGTGGTGGAGGTTGCCTCCAGACTGATGGGTTATATCTGAGGAGTCAGTTGTCTGAAGTACAACAATTGTTTTGTACCGTCAGGCTCTCCCTTTTCCTGAGTAAGAAAAGGGAAATCTGTAATGTGGTTGATACAGAACTTGAGTCTTTCAGTGATGATAACTGTCCAGTTCTGCTACTGAATTTAAGCGATGACATTAAAGACTCTGAGGAAGACTTCAGGTTGCTCTAGGTATTGACCACCTTCTTGTTAAGCTTCAGCCATTCACAAGTGAGACGCAGCAAAACCAGTAAGATTTGTTTCATTTGTCAGCTTTTGGAAATACAAATCTGGTTGGTTGTGCCACGAGACCCTTAAGGGCTTTAATGTAAATTATTTTTTAACATCTAAATTGATAGAGGTTCCTGCTTTGGGTTTTAACTGTGGATATTGTATTCCTAAAATGGTCACCAAGCAGTTTGTTCATCTTCCTTTGTGACACTATCCCAAGCTGCTTTGCACAGATTCGGTAATTTTCTATTTGTTCTTAATATATTAAAGCATTAATGAAGGAGACTATATTTCCTCTATTTTCGGTCTTGAATCTCCAGGCTCCTGATGCCCTGTAGTTTTTTCTTTTAGACCCCTGAGGAGGAGGAAATCCTTAACAAGAAGAGGTCGAAGAAAATCCAGAAGAAATATGACGAACGCAAGAAGAACTGCAAGATCAGCTCTCTCCTGGAGGAGCAGTTCCAGCAGGGCAAGCTGCTGGGTGAGTAGTGGGCCTGGAACTCGAAGCGAAGTGGAGAGGTGGCTTAGGGTCTCCTGGGGTGGAGTCTATATACCTGAATTTCTCTCCCCCGTCTTCTCATGATGAAATCTATCCAGTTCTGCTCCTGAAACAAGCGATGAAACCATAGATCTGAGGAAGACCTTTTCATTGTAAAATGTCTGTAATGCCTAGTACATCGATGCATACTGTAGTAGATTAACTTTTGGATGTTCTGGTAAGATTAAGGTAGCTGCTTTGCCAAAGGATAGAATCTGCTTTTTAAACCTCCAGAAAAAGTCTCCTGCTTTGCAGCCTATATCCGTGTTCAGGTTTGCCTTTCAACGCAGACTGCTGATCAGATCTTCGGAAGCGCTCTTTGCTAATGCAGTACTTCCTCCTTTTTTCCAGCCTGCATCGCCTCAAGACCAGGCCAGTGTGGCAGAGCCGACGGCTACGTTCTGGAAGGCAAAGAACTCGAGTTCTACCTGAGGAAGATCAAGGCCAAGAAAGGCAAATAAATGTACAGAGCTGTTTGATACCACCTCAATAAAAAAAAATCAAAAAGTCCTTCATTGTGTTCTGTGGTGCTTTATGGCTAAGTTGCCTTTTTCTGTAGTGAAACTGATTTGTGAAATTGTAGTTTTAAAGGACTGGTGTAGCTGTCCTGTGAGGTGAAGAGATTTTATTAATCTGCATAATAAGTGGTTAGGTTTGCACTGTTAAGTAGCCTGTTGGCCTTTACCTTGGCTCTTTGGTGTCATATCAGTGCCACACTAACCTCACAGCTTGCAGAAGGGATGAGTTTGCGATCTGTAGCTCCTCCCTTTCGAAGGCTGGGAACACTTGAATGATTCTTTAGGATGTCGTAGGAAATGAGTTGTACGTGAATCTTTCATTGCCTTGTGAATGTGCAAAAGGTAAGTCTCGGAAACCGATTTGCTCGAATTTCCTATAAATAATCTGGATAGTTCTGTGAATTTGTTTAGTTGCTTTGATGCTTTTAAAAAATAACTCGGATGTCGCGTAAAGTTCTAGTGCCGTGTTGAAGATTTGGTTTCCTAGCATGTAATTGCACTGAAGTTAAACCAGATGATGATGCTTAAGCATAAAGAAATGCCAATTAAATTTTTTCTGAAACTAATTGTTGTCCTGTGTTGTACTTGTTCTGATACCGTCTCTGCAGTTTTGAGGTGGCTATAAGTTAGATGTACAGGGATGCGATATCTTCTGGAAGTGTGGAAAAACTTGAGTGACTGGGTGTAGGCGAATGTATATTGGCTTCGAATGATTTTAGATTTGAAGTTGAACCCCCTGCTTCAGCTCCTCCGGCCCTGGTGTGAGGCCTTGGGAGTCGGCTGGGCCAAATGTTCTCAAGTTTACAACGTAGTTTGTCCTTGTGCTAACCTAATGACATCTAACAAGTTCTTGCCAAAGAATCCCCTTTTAAATATGAAAGGCAGGGATTATGTGCTGTTTTTATTAAACATTTCACATTGTATAATATGCATTCTGTCATGTTTTGTAGGATTGCTTAGCTCATCAGAAATATCGGTGAAACAGAGGCAGGGGTGTGTGGGTGTTGGGACCGCAGACTGAAGGAATGGGTGGAATGAGGCTGCTGTGCCCTTGGGCAAAGTACTTGTCCAGTAAAGATGCTTTCTGTGTAAACTGCTGCTCCGCAGGCCATTGTAGTGAATGAGAATTTGTTCCCTCCTTTTCTCATCCAGGCTTGAGACAAAGATCAACAAGGTGGGATTGGAATAAACATTTATTCGTGTATTACACATATTGACATCATTTACATTACCGATCAGCCTTCGGTAAATTCGGGGGTGGTCTGTGAGCTGTTCGGTTCTGTTGCGGGAGGATCTCGCTGCCTGGAATTAACCTGAGACGTTGGGGGGCATTAGGGAAGGTTGTCCTCCTGAGTGGGGCCTGTGCTGCAGTAGTCGACACGGGGAGGGCGTGGAGCAGCCCTATCTCAGGCGTCCGTTTGCCCACTCTCGTTGGCCGGCGGTTCGACGCTGATGGTCAGTGCAGCGATGGGGCCCTCCAGGCGGCGGCGGCGGCCGGCGGCGGACCTCTGGCTGCCCTCACCCTCGTCCTCGCTGTCCTCCTCGTTGATGCGCTCGGAGCAGTCCCGCTCCTCCCCCTGCCAGGGGTTGGAGTTGACGCTGTCGCCGCGGAGACGCAGGGCGCGACGGCCGAAGTTCTTGAGGCTGATGGCCGGGGAGGCGACGGCCAGGAAGCGGCTCAGCATGGGCGTCTGCGTGCGCGGCGTGTGGGGGCTGGGCTCCACGGTCTGGTGCTGCGCGGGGTCCTCGCTCATCCTGCGGGCAGAGCACAACGCCACCGCGCTGAGACTCCAGACTCGCGCGGGCCGGGACACGGACTCCGACAAACAGACGACGTGATGTGGGGATGCACCTGCAGCGTAGGTGACTTTCTCCAAACCACATGGCACTGTCTTTTTTTTTTTTAGAAGTGCCAGTAGGAGTTGTTTGGTTAACCCTGACCCTAACCCACCTGAATGTCCCCACAGCCGAAAGGTTGTGCTTCTTTTCTTTTAGTTTATATTTCACTGTTCGTTCAGAAGAAATCTGAATGCTTTACTGGGGTACACAAGCGGTGGCTCTGTGGTTAAGGATCTGCGCCTGTGACTGGAAGGTTGCCGGTTCAAATCCCGCGGCCGGCAGGGGAATCCTACTCCGTTGGGCCCCTGAGCAAGGCCCTTAACCCCAACTGCTCCAGGGGCGCCGTACAATGGCAGACCCTGCACTCTGACCCCAAGCTTCTCTCCCTGTCTGTGTCTGTGTCTCCATAGAGAAAAGCTGGGGTATGCGAAAAGACGAATTCCTAATGCAAGAAATTGTAAAGGGCTAATAAAGAAACTATTATTATTATACAATTCCTTATTGGGGCTGTGGTAGGTAACTACATGCTTTGTTAGAAGTCTTTGCTCATACGTAAGACAGGTGATGTGAGCTGTGCCAAAGGGAAGCTTTGAGTCGGTCTTGTGTGCTGCTTACCTCATGTCGAAGGTGGACCCCAGGAATGAAGGTTTGAGGGTCTCGGCGGCAGTGGCCAGGGTGTAGGGGATGGCAGTGGAGGCTTCGTTCCAGTACTTGTCCTTCTCCGCAGGGGGCAGGTTCTGATACATGTCATCGACAGCCAGCAGAGACACCTGGGGACACACGAGCACACTCTGTCGGTAAGCAAACGCTGCCTTGTGTTCACTGGAGTGTGCTCAGCGTCTTTCTGTTCAGATTCCAGATGAAAATCTTCTTCAGAGAAAAAAAAACACATTTTGTTCTATAATACCCTGGACTGTGGAGATGTTGGTGTCTTTATTATAGGGACATAATACAAATCAGTATTTGCTGATAATTCTGAAATAGTTCTAAGATACAGATGGAAACTTAGGATAAACATTTGTGATGAAACATCAAAGCTTCTGGGATACAGTATGATCATACTATGATCTGGAGACTTGTGGCCTGAGGAAAAAGCAGAGGTGTTGCAGGTGTTTACCTGAATGTTTCTATCAATCAGTTTATTTGTTTCAAAGTCATCGTCGTCCTCTCCGAACGGATTGATGATCTGTTCGGCTACCTGTTTTTTTAAAAAAAAGAGTTGTGTTTGTCAACGAGAGAGAAAAAAATCTCACCACCGGTGCGTACTCGAAAAGAAAACGTTCCTGGCTGAGCTCCCACCTATCATTCCCCTTGTCTTGCTACATCATTTTGAAATTAGAAATCAACGTTTTTGGCCCCTGAAAAGGCCTCCATCCCAGACATGTTGTTTTTTTCCTTCCTCCTTATTTGTTTGCTTTGAATCTCAACACACTGACGCACCTTATCTGCTCAGAACTCCTAAAGATGAAAATGGCTGGGCTGGGCCGGACTGCATTAATATCTGCTGGACAGCCCACAGTGGCCCAGGAGATGTCCTGACGAAGCCTCGTCTTGAGTACCCCTACCTTTAGCCATCCAGCATAGAAGAAGAACTGCAGCAGGGTGAACACAGGAACATACAGATCGAGAGCATCCTCACTGTCCTCAGAAGGATGCAGAAACTGCCGACCGACCAGGGTGACGGTGAAGAAGGAGTAGACAGCGATGGTGACCACCTGGAGGAGACAAGCCGGGGGGGCTCAGGTTTCTCCTTCGCTGATTTCTGTAACCCTGAGGTCACACAGACCCCAGCCTGCTCTGCACAGAACTGCTGTCAGGCTTTTATTTACTATAGTTTCCCAGAAGAGCTCACATCCCCGTCATGCTGCACAGATAGCCCATTAACAGAACAGAACTGAAATTGTAATTTAGAAATTGAGATACAAGTTACATGATCCTTTTTCTTCATTTTTTTAAAAACTGAACTTGAGTGTAAAGTTCAGGGTTGTTGCAAGAGAATCCACAGTAGCCCTTCTAAAACCAGGAGGGTAGACTAACCAGAACCTGACAAAACAATTATCATATGGGATTAAATAGTGTGGACCTCCAGATGATGACCATTCTCTTTTTCAGTGTCCTGCTCTGCTTGTAAACTGAGAAACTGATTTGGAAACAGAGATTTCTGAATGTACTAGAACCACCTGAAGCTCCAGTCTGCACCTTGGCGTTTTTTTCTCTGTGTTTACATGTTAATAGTGTGATATTATCTCCCCTGGATCATGTGCTGTATGGCCATCCAGAGTCTAGCGCTGATTCCTCTTACCCCGAAGGAGAAAAGAAAGAGTATTCAACTCATTACCTGCGTGTAGACAAGTGGAATACTGATCCAGTCATAGTGAAACAGCATGCTGCACTTAGCTCTGTATTTATTCAGCTCCTATTAAAAGAAAGGACAGTGGTTTTGGAGAATTAATGCGCCACATGTTGAATGTATGAGTGTGCTTGTGCCCTGCTGCATTGGTGACCTCAAAATGTCACATAATGGACTTCCTACACAGAGGGGTTCACCAGATTATGACCGAACAGTATTTGTCCTGTACGTTACGCAAATATACAAGGTGATTTTCTGCACCGATGCTGGATTCAACATAGTTGCATTTGTAAGTTCATATTTTTAATATTTATCGCTCTGGCTAGCTGGATTCTTGCCCCTGGATGAATCTGTTTGTATTCTTCCTTGATTGGCTTGGTTAAGTGATTCTTTTCAGGATTGATACTTGCGAAGTTACTGTACTGTGTTAGTGTGAAGCAGGGATGACTAACCCTGGTCCCTAAGGGTGCTGTCCAGTTTTAATAGGTCTCTTTAAATCTCCTGTGGTTTAAGAACTAAGAAAGGCTTCGGGTTTCTAATTAACAATTAATTACTTCAATTAGGTAATTAAGGCTTGGGTGGAAAAAAAAACCCAAAGGCCCCCCAAGATTGGAGTTGTGCCCCCCTGGAGTAAAGAGTAAATAACAGGACAGGCCAATTCTGGAGCTGTTTGCAACTTATGTGCTTACAAATCCAATGGGCTTCTTCAGAATCAACAATGAAACATCAATCTGAAGCAGGATTGGAAAATTAGTTTAATACCCAGACCAACTGGCAACACTTTACACAAAGGGTTGTGGGAGTATGGAACAAGCTACCCAGTCATGTTGTTGAAGCTTACGCTTGACCTCAGGTTTCCTGCTGTGGATACGATGTGTTTTCTATGCGTTCTGACCTCTATATACAGACGTCATGGATATTATGGAAGTTTAGTGGGGCAGATGGTTTCTTATCGTGCTTCTTTTTGCTGGGTGAGGTCCTCGTATCAGTGAGATACTAGCAAAAAAAAACCCAGCTGGATTCTCACGTGGGAGAATCGGCACCTTGTCTTCTTATGTTCATAAATCCGCACTCAATTACTTGCAGATAATTCCTGTAGAGCCTGTAACTGGGGAGACTTACATCCATGAGCAGCCTGAGCGCCACATCGTCCCGGACGCGTCCCTCTCTGCGGGCCTGGGCAGCCAGGTTCGTGAACCACACCATGGGCATCCAGTACTTGTTGAAGTCCGAATACAGGCTCTCCAGCTTCTTCTGCTCGTCTCTCGTCATGAAGCCTGGGGATCAGTTGAGGTAAGAGACTCTTTGTAATCATCGTTCTAAGGAAGAACGGGACACAGTCATCTAGCTCTCCCTAGAATCGCAAAACAAAACTTCTATTAGAAAACAAATACAAATATTAATTCCGTACACTTATATAGCGCTTTTCTGGACTCTCCACTCAAAGAGCTTTACAGGTAAAGGGGACTCCCCTCCACCACCACCAGTGTGCAGCCCCACCTGGATGATGCACCAGTCTGCTCCCCACACACCAGCTCTCAGTGGGGAGGAGAGCAGAGTAATGAAGCCAGTTCATAGATGGGGATTATTAGGAGGCCATGATTGGTAAGGGCCAATGGGAAATTTGGCAGGACGTCGCCTATTTTACAGTATAGTGTCCCCGTCACTATACTGGGGCATTAGGACCCACACAGACCGCAGGGTGAGCGCCCCCTACTGGTCCCACTAACACCTCTTCCAGCAGCAACTTTAGTTTTTCCCAGGAGGTCTCCCATCCAGGTACTGACCAGGCTCACACCTGCTGGGCTTCACTGGGCTGCCAGTGGTGAGCCGCAGGGTGATATAGCTCTACATTAGGTGGTTCTAACGTATTTCAGTTTCCTCAAGTGCCAAAAGAATGAATAAAATAAATGGATCTGCTGTTAATTTTTAAAATATCCCCCCGCCCGTACTTTTATTGGAATGGCTTGATCATCGCCCAAAAGAGCTTAGCTAACTGTTCGCAGGGTAACAGGGTTTCGCGTTTGAACGCCTGGACACTGCGCCCCAGCTCCAGCGGTGTAGCACTGCGCCCTACCGGCTTCCACGACGTGGTCCATGGTGGGGAATCGCTTGCGGACACGCGTGCTGACGGAGCGGAGGATGAGCACCGAGGACAGGTTGGCGTACCGCATCAGCGTCCGCCGCAAGATGCGCCCCTTCTCGTCCGCGCCGTGAACGTTGGCGGACACCACCATCATGAGCTGGTCCGGCAGCGGGATGCTGGTGTACTGACTCCACCAGCGGTTCACCACCAGACTGACGTAGAACCCTACGCAAAGACGAACAAGGCTGGGACTCGATCAATCACATTACGATTCCTCTTCACCGGAATAATCCTTTTGGGTGGGCAATATTTAGTCTTATAAAGTGTTCTCTACAAACTAAAAGCGTACGCATCTATTTTATTTTAATAACAACATGAATAATACTGCTTCCTTGCGATTATATAGAGCCTTTCAGCCCAGAGGATTTCGAAGTGTTGAACACCTAGTAATAGGCGCTGCAGAGCTCGGTTACTCTGTAACTGAAATTATTCAGGAATTTTGCGCCAGCGGCCCCCCAAAACAGATTGAATTTAGGTAGAACGTAGAGATGATGCGCACTCACTTTGCGCCTTAAAAAAAAAGTCAGAGAATAAAAATATACTTTTTTTTTCAATTTGTCATTCTAATCTGAAGATTTTTGCTGAAAAAAAAAATGTTTTCGCTGAGGTGAACTTTGAAGATAAGAGGCAGTTGGAATATTTTCACAAATAACATAGATGTACTTTTATAAAAGCGAGTACAGATAACTTTAGCCTCAAACGCGTTTTAGACCCTTTAGTTTGTTATCTTAGAGAAAGATTAAATGAAAAAAGCGGGTTTACACCGCATGTGCCCTTTTCCCCACCGTGAAGAAATTTTAAACAAATCCTGTACGGAAACTGGGAGTGCATTTAAAACAGAAAACAGGAGGCACTTCTTTACACAAAGGCTTGTGGGAGGGTGGAACAAGCTACCCAGCCATGGTGTTTTAAACTGACACCCTGGATAAGATAAAGGATCTTTTGGAGAAAACCGAACACACCTGGAACCAGCAATAAGTCAGATCTGTAACGACAGTAACATCAAATAAGTTGGCCACTTGTATCCTATTATCCTACGTTGTTTTAGTAATCCTGTCATTGTAATAAGGCACCATGGAAAGAGATTTCTGCCACATCAACTAATCATACAGAAAATAATAATGGAGTGTGATTTCCTCATAATGCCCAGCAGAGCTGGTGGAAACATATCAGTTAAGCGTGGAGATCATTACCGAGCACAAAGGACATGGGGATGAGATTGGATTGTTGGTTGCAGTACTTGGCTACTTTTTCAAACATCTTCCTCTGATCGCTGTTCAGCAAGCGCCTGTATGGGTAAATCACAGAAGAAGCCCGGTCATCTGCCAAATGCCAAATGCTTCCTGCTTACTAAAACACAGAGTTTAGCTGGAAAACGTCTGCAAACCACAAAAAATAGCATTATGCCTTTATTTTGATCTGTCCTTTTCACCATGTTTCAGTAAAACAAAACTCAAACCTGCAATAAAAAAAACGAAAGTCTTTCAGGCATAAGCCTTCATAAGCACATGTGAGTACAATTTCTCCAGATCACCTGAAGTTTTGAATCGCAAGTCAGCAACATGTGCGGTCTTCTCTCCGAGTGGAATACTGTTCATTCTTGCACCTCTTAAAGATGTAAAAACCTACTGCATACTCATGTTAGAACCTCAGGAGACCTTTAAAAAACATTTTTTACCATTATTTTAAAGACAAATGTTGACCAGCACTGACCAGTTTAACTAGTTTACTTCCTAATCTTTCAGATACAGTTTTTTGTTTTTAAGTATAAAGTGTTTAAAACAGAATATTGTCATTTCTGGACTTTCTCGTTCAAACATGAGATGAGGAGGGATTTAACAGCAGTCCTACCTGTATGTGAGGCTCAGAGTGGCATACAGCACACTAAACGCGATGAACTCCTTGTAAAGCAGTTTGTAGATACTACCTTTCCATCTGAACAGCAGCTTGGAGAAGCCTGCAAACCGGGCATTTGCTACTTCGAGAGTGTAAGAGACTGTCATGGCTCAGACGTGACTTGTGATCCAGATAAGGCAGTGAAACAAGGCTGTTAAACAGAAGAACCTTTAGTTGGACATTAAGAGCAATCGCTTTGCAACAATTCTAAAACGGATCTTTCCACACTTTCCTATTCAATGCATATACTGTATCTATTGATATGTCAAAGTGAATTGGGGTTTTGATGCCTCAGACTTTCAGACTAACCCCTCTCAAAAGGACACCATTTATCGAAGAACCCCGGTAGTCCGTGAAACACTTCGGAAGAGCTTTTAAAACTCACCTGCATCGGCACACAGAAACATTCCTGCTCTACTCTATGCAAAAATGGTGAGTTTTCAGCCCATTTCATGGAAACTGTGCAGAAGTGATGTGATTAGAAAGGTTACCTCAGGAACTCCTGCTGCGTGCTGGCACTCAGCTCTGAGAGGACAAGCCCTGTCCCCACGTCTCCTTTTCCAGCTCCCACTGGGGCTCCTGGCCACCCATCAGCTTGATTTATGGGCCGCATGACTGGGAACTGGTGCTACTGTGATTTCTCTTTCACAAACACACACGGGGAGTGGTTTATCTGAGCGAGGTAGGAAATCACAGTGTTACCCTGGCCCTCGGGGGCTACTTCCAAGGGCTCGTCTCATCTCTGCAGCCCCCCTGAGCTCTTTGACACCACAGCTCCACATCTTTGACAGCACGGCTCCTTGTCTTGGGGTTCGATCTGCGACCACTTCCATCCAGTTTAACTCAGCTTGCTCCTTGCTTCATGCTCAAACTCACCTAGCGCTGGAGATGAGACGTGTGCCGTTCGTGTGTCATTCAGGGTAAAGTCATGTGCTCAACACTACAGAGACCTGGAGACACAAACAGCTAGACGTGAGTGTGGACTCAAATGCCACTTTGGACAGAGCAGGGAAGACATTGTTGCAGTCCAGGATAAAATGCAGGCACTGACCAGAGGGATTTGTCCTTATCTTGAGCCAGGCTAATGTAGTAAGAAATGTCAAAAGCACACTTGTGTGGGACCAGTTGCCATGCTTATACAGTATTGTTCTATAATCTGTGCAGCTTTTTTTAACTGTTAAAATCCACATTTGAAAACCTTAGTTCTGTTTTGATGCGTTTTAGCTCATCACTGCCAGCTGGGATGACTGTATTTGAGAAATTTCAGCTCGAACCCCTGTTTGCAAATCCCGACCTGGGCTGACAGCATCGAAAAGCAAGATAAGAGATGGAAACAGGTCAGGCTCTACCCTAGCTGAGCTAGTCTGCGCCTCCAGTAACCAGAGGAGGTTCAGAATACTGTATTCACCCCCAAGGGGGACAACTTCAACAGTAGTGAGTGGCTCAATATTACAACACATTCTGAACAAAACTGGTAAAAACTGGTATCACAACATTTCTAAGACAAAATAAAAAAAAACAGCAAAAGGGCCATAAAATGATTATGAAAGTAATAACGTGCGTCCAATACTCAACTGAGCTTTTAGCCAAGTACTTTGCCTTTCCCAGCCTGAGGAACAGTGAAATCCACTGGTCATGCCAATAAAGCTATTTGAATTTTAATTTATTGCTTAATTTACACCACTTTTTAACAGCTTTCTCACCAGGCACCGAGTTACTTTAGTTCCTTTCCACTACACTGTGATTTACTATTGCTGTGATACAGTAACATCGTTCTTATCAAGTGCATAAATCATTGCGCTTCACAATGTGAGATACAGTCGAGATTCACTGTGTGTAACAAGCCAAGCCAGGAGTTCACTGGCTTGTGTGGTTTATAGGGGAAAGGCCATCCTGGAGTTCAGTGAATACAAATTGGTTTTACATGGTGGATGTCAATAATCTATTTGTTTTAGTTTTTGTAATAAGAAAAAATAAATATTTAATATCTATACTAAGTTATGATTTTCTGGCCATATCTTAAAAATATATTTAACTTAGAAAGTTAAAAGACTGTATTTTGTGCAACTGCCTTTCCAAATATTATCCTCTTCTGCAACTGCTGATTGATGACTGATGAACAAAATTGAAATGATTTATCTGTGCAATTGAAATATCCTGGGAAGATTTTTAATTGTATTCTATTGTTGTGTTTTATCCTAAATAACGGCTGAAATGCACTATAGCAGACCTCCTGAGATTGTCAAAAAGTTTTAAAGAGTAAGACAGGGAGAAGTTTGTGATGGAGACCCAGAGTGCTTAGTTAGAATTGTATCAGTCGTGGAATTTAAATACATTTTTAACATCAAACCTAAATATCGATGGCAAACACTAAGATAGTGCTAGCTGCAGTTATTTTTAAGATGGGGAAGTACAATTGTGTGTGCAAATATGTAAATCTGTCACTCTGGAATAATGAATTGTATTGCTCGCTATAAAACTGACCTTCCCTCGAAGAGAAAATGAAGAGTAGTCTCCACTGTGAGAGAGAATTTCAGAACGCAGTTCTGACATAAAACAGACACAAGCAGCTAGTCAGAACTCTTTCCTCATTTTTCTCTGCACTAAGGTTTACAGAAATTGAACTCCTTCCGAAAACAGTACTTTTTGTTTATTGTTTCAGCACAAAAACATTTTTGCCCTTCGTAAAGTTTAATTGCGCCAAATTTAACTTAAGTCCAAATTTGATCTTTCCTCATTTGCCTTTTTAGCCAGGAAACCCGTATCTCAGCAGTGTTAATGAAAACCGCAAACCCTTTTATCAGCTACAGTATGGAATGAAGAACTACCGCCAATTTCCTGGTATTAACTTTCAGTTTTGACAGTTTGCAGTTAGGGGTGACAGTGAGTGTAGGTTTTGTAACATTGCCAGTTATGTTCAAATGAAATGCATGCTGGGCTTTAACACTACTGGGCTGGTATCGGTCGTTAAGTGACCAGCTGGGCTGAAAACATAGATGCACCTGCCCTCCAGCCCAGTACAAAAGACGCTGGCTTAGAAGGTCCATCTATCCATTTTCTAATCTTGGATGGGACACCAGTCTGGGCACACACACACAATGACGGGCACACACTAACACCAGGGCCGTTTTTTCCCCAGAAGTTAATTAACCTGACAGTATGTTGGTAAGGAAATCCGAAACAATGGGGGAAAAAACACACCCAAACATGGGAAAAACATACAAACTCTACGCAGATAGCATCCCAGGTCTGGAATTAAAACCAGGCCCCAGAGCTGCTAGATAACGCGAAATCTCCCGCTAAGATCAAACTTCCTTTAAACACTAATAGTGTAATTTGTGATAGAACCAGCAGGTGTCTCCAGAGTTTATAAAGCCCCCAGCCTCTTACCTACTGCATGTGAAAACATCACGGGAGGTGTTACAGGAAGCAGAGCTCACGGCCAATTTCCGTTCCTTTAACACGTGGGTATTCAGGCTAAATTTCCTTTTGTGCTTCAAACATGGAAACGGTGTTTATCGACGTTCATGTCTAAAAATCACATTAAATAACTGAATAGCAAACAGTACATTTTGGAAGCAAACAATGCACCATATTCAAACTTGTTTTCTTTATAAATCTTTTAAAAGAAACCAATATAAAACCTGCAGGTAAATGAGGTCCCCATTAAACGTGAAGCTAATTCAGTGAAGTGTCTAGAAAAGTGTAAGGAATTTTGATTATTAAATAGTCTGAGCAACAGGAATGCTACTTTTCCTGCTTGCCTGAAGTATAACTGTGTAACTGTAGTCTATGAACCCTTTGAAGTCAGGCTGTGCATGTTTGTCTTCCTCACAAAAGGGACGTAGGAGCGTGCATTTCTATACAGTAGATGCATCACCTTTTTCATTTTAATTTGGGTGAACTTAATCACCTCGGAGAAATGTGTTCGAAATCTGTTGAGCAACATTAACCGAAGGGTGTTCGTTTACCTTAACATTGTCCCTTCGGTTACCTTCCTCGGTTGCCAAGATTTCGTCTCCGGAGTGAAAGGTGCCGGTCTGCTGTGAGAGAACCCCATTATGAGAGGACAGAGGTGCCTCAGAGAGGCGGCATCTGCCTGCTGTAGATCCGGGGCGGAGGGGCTCCGGTGGTATCGCGATTACAGGGGGAACAATGGTGGGTTTTCATGGGGATTTCTGCAGCAACGGCAGGCTTGGGAACCGGGTTTCCACAGTAGCATTGGAAAGGTCACAGACGAGGAGGTCATTCAGACGTCCTGAAAGGTGCTGTGCACGACGGACCTCCAGCCTCTGTGTGTCTCTAACAGCTGTAGCTAACAGCGTCCCGGTGCAGATAGTTACTTCAAATAAAGCATCAGGTGCCCATGCTGTTAAATCTGGCAAGGGGGGGAATATGCGTAGTGATTTTTGCCAGGAAGAAATGTAAGTGTACTGTATTTCTCTGACACTAAAATGATATAATGAATATTAACGTCTTTAGCACGATGGGGCCCATTATGATTATGCTAGGTGCTTGTGTTCCAGTCGTGCTTAAAAGTCTATTTCCAGCGTCATAGTATTACAGTTGTATTAGTTTTTAACTGTCTACAGCAAGCATAACGTGCACAGTTTTTGATCATAATATATTCTGAAACCTCATTTATCACTAGCAACGCTCTGCTGTTCAGTTGAAACTAAAACATACTTTGTCTACATCTAAAGGAGAGCACCAAGTATATTGGAGGAGCTCCCAAAATAATATTTTAAACTAGCAAACATCAAATATCCTTTGGTAAAACTACAAAATTGCATGAGGGGGTTGATATTTATTCATTGGTATAAAGGCGATTAAGTAGTGAACACCAGAGTACATCAAAAACCACAGTCAATTTGTAAGTAATATATAAAAAATATATAACTCTATAAGGTTATATATTCATTGTCTGGCTTAGTTATCACTTGCATCTGAAGCATGTGTGACATTTTGGCTTTAAAACTTTTTTTTACACTCCCTGTAGTTGGTTTCTGATTGACAAGCAGTATCTCATGTTGGAGGTCTTGTTCACCTGATGTTGTAAAATGAAGTTTATACACCTAAACGTACGAGGAGATCTGCAGACAAGAGGTGGGCATTTGAACTGTCCAGACCATTTTGGTTACAAGCAGCTAATTGCTCTAAGGATCTTATGCAACTGTTTATTAAAAAAAAAAGCCAATGTATCAGGTCCAGCAATTATTCCAGACCCCCACAACCCTCTGTGTAAAATAGAGCCTCCTGCTCACTGGTTTCCAACTAATTTCCAGTGACCATGTTTATTCATGATTATTCAGTTCTCTTACGCTATAATGACCTTATTTATTGTAGGTAGAAGAGAAAGCCCAGAAACGGCTCTGGTTGGACATCGGTGCTGAGGCCACTGGACCTCTTGACTTCTGGATCTTTTCCATGCACACTTCCTGAGGAAGGAATCCCTGTGGACAAACCTGCAGGTATTTGCAGGTTTCTCAGCTCTTTTTTCCTGCCAATGCTGTGTTCATACTGTGCTGTATGTTATAGTACCTGCCTACAAGACTAAACCACTTATCTTCAGAGCAGTCATGACTCATGGGTGCGTCTCAGAATCATCAATAGCCCTGACAAGGTGACACATCTGAAATGGTCAAAGACATTTAACATAGAGCTATGTGCAATGTAATCCATTAGGAATTATTAACAAACACCATATATAGGGGCGGATCTGTGCCTGTGACTGGAAGGTTGCCGGTTCAAATCCCGCAGCTGGCAGAAGAATCCTACTCCGTTGGGCTCCTGAGCAAGGCCCTTCACCCCAACTGCTCCAGGGGCGCTGTACAATGGCAGACCCTGTGCTCTGACCCCAGGCTGCTCTCCCTGTCGGTGTGTCTCATGGAGAGCAAGCTGGGGTATGCGAAAAGATAATTCCTAATGCAAAAAATTGTAAAGGGTTAATAAAGTAATGTTAAATATATTATATATAAGGCTGGTATATATATACAGTGCCTTGCGAAAGTATTCGGCCCCCTTGAACTTTTCAACCTTTTGCCACATTTCAGGCTTCAAACATAAAGATATAAATTTTTTATTTTA